GAGCAGGTAGGCTTGTCAAGCAAGTTTATGCTTCTGCAAGACTATTTTAAAACCTTATATATACGTTTCACTGAAACCCTTGAAACAAGCTTTGTGTTTACTTAATGAGGAGCTTCCCTCATGATTGTTCTCCTTTAATTTTAACTATTGATTCTCAACCAAGGTGCCACAGTACCCTGGGGTGCTGTCAGGTTCTGATGCACAACATAAGATGCGGAGATAAGTAAGTGTAGGTTCAGGCTCAGTCCCTGTCTGGCCAAAACTCTACCCCTACTGCCACACACCTATAATATATATAATTCATTTTTTAAATTGGGTGCCACTCAATTCACAAGAGCTATGGAGGGGTGCAGAGTCCAAGAAAATTGATAACCACCACTGTAGATGCAGAACAAGCGTCACCCATGGTGCTTCATCAGGATCTGCACTGCTGAAAATCTGAATATTAGTTTTAGATTTCAAGAGGCACTTATGCTGAAGCAACTGACAGGAAACAAATCTAGCATGAAACAAAATTCATACATTTCTCTAAAAACTTTCCTTAAAAATGCTGGGACATTTATGTGCTGCTGAAAGAAACAGCGAAGTGCAAATTTATGGTTAGAGACAGCGGATGTTGGAAAGTCAAAATCTGATGGGGATTTCCTGAGTGGTCCAAGGTTTCTGCTGATTCAAGTGCCTCTTTTATTGAGGGAAAAGAAGAGGGAGTGGAAGGTAGGCTTGTTGAAAGCTTCTGGGGAAAAGGCCATAGGGTAGAGCAGCAGGGTGGATATCATAGTGGGCATCTGCTATGGGCCACCACACCAGGAAGAAGAGGTGAACAAGGTTCTCTTTAACAGAACCGACAGAAGCTTCCAAGTCACAGCACCTGGTTCTCATGGGGGACTAATTACCACAATACCTTCTGGGAGGGAAACAGCATTTGCTCAACTGCCTGTGCACTGCTTGGAGTATATCTGAGATAAGTTTTTGATACAGGTAGTACAGACCAACACAGGGAGAGAGGAAGAGAGAGTGAAGGGGAGTTCTTTGCAGTTTGCTGCTCACAAACAGGGAAGAATTAGTTGAGAATGTGAAGGTAACCTACGTAATAGCAATCATGAAATGACAGTTTGAGATCCTAAGGGGAGGAAGGAAAGAGAGCAGCAAAATAAGAAACAGTGGACTTCAAAAAAAGCAGACATTAAACTCAGGGAACTGGTGGGCAGGATCCCTTGGGAGGCAAGTCTGAAGGGGAAAAAAAGGAGCGGAGGCCCTTTTAAGGGTGTAGGAGTGAGATATCCCAATGCATCAAAAGAATGGTAAGTGCAACAGCAGCCCAGTCTGGCTAGACAACAATCTTTTCAGGGAGTTAAAACTCAAAAAAGAAATCCTATTAAAAAGTGAAAATTTGGTCTCAGTAATAGGGAAGAGTATTGCACAGGAATGCAGGGAAAAATTAGGAAGGCAAAGACCCAGTTTGAGATGCAATTGGCAAGGGACATAAAAGGCAATAAAAAGGTATTCTACAGGTATGTCTGAAGTAAGAAGATGACCAGAGAAACCGTAAGCCCTGTACGGAATTGTAGAAGGTGATCTAGTTACGTAAAATTGAGAGAAGGCTAAAGTATTTAATGCCTTTTTTAAATGTCAGTCTTCACACACACGTGCCAGATGACCAGCACAACTGGCAGCAAATACCAGGAAGGAGTCAAACAACCTACTGTAGTGGCAGAATAGGTTTAGGGATTACTCTGAAAGCATCTAGATTCTCTAATTAGCAGGGCCAGATGGGAAGCACCCTGGGGTATTGAAGGAATTCACTGAGGTAAATTCACAGCCACATCGGCTATCCTTCTTGAGACCTTATACTAGTCAGATAAAGTCCTACATGATTAGAAAATGGCAAACATAGTGCCCACCTTTAAAAAAGTAAAGGAGGATGATCTGTGGCATTACAGACCAGTCAGCCTGACCTTGATACTAGGAAAGATCATGGAGCAGATCCTCAAGGAATCTATTGTGAAGCACTTGGAGGAGAGTAAGTTGATCAGGAAAAGCAGCATGGATTTACCAAAAGCAAGTCATGCCTGACCAACCTGATTTACTTCTATGAAACAATGATGCACTCTGCAGAAGCACAGAGCAGTGGATGTGATAGAGTTGACTTCAGCAAGGCCTTTAACACCATCTCCCACAGCATTCTCAGTAACAATCTCTAGAAATACAGACTAGGTGAAAGTACTGTAACTTGGATACATAACTGGTTGGATCACTGTGATCAATGGCTCAATGTCTAGTTGGCAAGAGGTATCAAGTTGGGTTTGCCAGGGATAAGTTCTGGGTCTCGTATCAATTAATATCTTCTGTGGTGAGCCAGTAGGCGGTGCTCCTGCGTTGAGCTACACACCTCACTGCGCCCGACCACCTTCCAGGCTCTGAGTGCCTCCCTGAGGCTGCCTCACATCTGGCTGACCCCCTTCCTGGAGCACACCTGCCAGCCTGGGGTAAAAAATGCCACCACCCAGGACCGGGCTTGATTCTGGTTCTGTGTCTCCTGGATAACACAGGCCTAGTAGCCCTCGAGGGTACCTGATTAACTTCAAGCACTTGAGGGTGCTTCCCTCAGTTGGAAGCACACGCAGTGGTCTCCCTTGGTTGGCCGAACCAAGGGGACCCCAAGGCATAATCTAGACCCACATCCAATAAGTCTCCCATGCTAGGTACAAAAGAGAACTTTATTGGTTACAAGGGGCAGGGCTGGAATAGGGTACAGGGTAGAGCAATATCAGAGAAATCTCGTAGAGCAAACTGGCATGGCTGGGTAGCCTCTGATCACACATCTGAGATACTGAAAGCTACATATCTAGTTAGATCTCAGGTAGTTTACTCACAAGTATCATCCAGAGGCAGGTGGAGATTCTCTCTGGAGGCAAGCAGTTCCTTGATCATGAGTTTTGAGAGAGAGAGCAAGTTTCAGATGGTCCAGCTCTTCTCTCTCTGAGTCCTCCTCATAGCTGCTGCCCCCACCTCCTGGGTAGCCCTTATGACCTCATTTACCTGGTCCAGTTGAGGTCAGCCAGCCAACTGGAAATGCATCACTAGTTGCTGGGTAGACTGGCAGTTCCTAGCTCCCCAGGGAGCCCAAGCCCCTCACTCAAGTATATGATGCCAGTTACGTAGGCAGAGGGAGCAGGTTTCCCCCCTCCCTCAGGAATGTATCCAGCTCAGGTTACCTAAAGAGATAGGGTAAGGTATGTATCTTCTGCTGGACCCATCCTAACCAAATTGTCACAGAGCAGAGTTTTTGCGGTGGCCTTCTGCCACATCTTCATTAATGATTTGGACAACAGGACTGAGTTCATGCTTAGCAAATCTGCAGATCCTAGACAGGTCTAGGATCCAGAATGACCTGGAGAGACTGGAAAAATGGTCTGCAACCAACCAGATGAGATTCAACAAGGAAAAATGCAAAATTCTGCACTTGGGAAGGAATAATTGCATTAAAAAATACAGACTGGGAAATAACTGGCTAAGCTGTAGTACTGCAGAGAAGGACCTGTGGGTTACAGTAGATCATAAGGTAGCAATGTGATCTTGTTGCAAGAAAGACAAGAAATATACCAGGCTGTATTAACAGGAGTTGCTTGCAAATCAAGGGTAGTGATTCTTCTGGTCTACTCAGCACTGGTAAAAATCTCACCTGGAGTACTGTCTACTTTTGGGCCCTGCACTTCAAGAGGAATGTGGACAGATTGAAAGAATCCAGCAGAGAGCAACAAAAATGATTAGAGGCCTGGAAAGCAAGAATAATGAGAAAAGGCTGAAAGAACCGGGGTTATTTAGCCTGGAGAAGAGAAGACTGAAGTGGAATTTGATAACAGTTTTCAGATACCTGAAGGGCAATTATAAAGAGGATGGAGATGGTCCTCTCTCTCTCTGTGGCCACAGAGGATAGGGCTAGGACCAATGACCACAAAATGCAGCAGAGGAAATTTGGGTTAGAGATTAGGAGGAAATGTCTGGCTATGAGGGTAGTCAAGTATTGTTACAGGCTTCCTAGAGAGGTTGTGGAATCTCCATCCCTTAAAATGTTCAAGAGCAGGTTGGACAGACACATGGTTAGTCAGGGGTGACCCTGCCTTGAGCAAGGGGCTGGACTAGATGACCTTGTGAAGTCCAATCCAGCTCTACTTTTCTATACTATAATCCTAAATTGTAAGTATTGGCTAACAGGTTACAGCATGAGATACTCCATGGTGAAGTGCTTGAACTGTTTCACACTAAGGCTTCATCTTTTCTCCAAAGAACATATGGTTATTTGCTTGGTATCCATTACAGTATACAAAGAAACATTTTACCAGATAAAGCTAGATGGGAGTTTTAATGGTTTTAAAAGATTACTAATATTTTGATACAGCTCCTTACAAATCTCAGAAAGCTATTTAATGATTTTATTTTATTTAATTCTCCCATTTTCTTAGAATTTCCCTTTTAACTTTCCTTTTTGAGAGTAACTTGGTCATTTATCTTTGGGAGAAGCTAAAAAGTGAAAAACTAAATGTTTAGCTATTTAGATACATCCATCTGTTACCAATTATATTTTCCATAGATTAAAAGTGTTGAGTTCTAAATTGTTACATGCCTTTATCAACTGATTATAAGCAATAGTACTGAAACATACAGCTAAGGATCAGAGGTCAACTTCACTAAATAATAAAGTGGAACAGAATCAAACAGCAGTTTTCACCTTTTCATTGTTTCAGTATTAGACAAACATTACAGTGCCCCAAGTCCATTCATAGTCAAGCCTCATTAGACACAGGGAAGAAAAACACTTTATTTTGGAAGTGTGAATGATCTGTTACCTATCAAAAGCAAAAGAGAAAAATATCTCTGTTCCAAATGATTCTTAGATTTGTTTTTTTTCAGAAATGCAGTAAGTGATAAACTGTTTACATTAATACTCAAAAGCAAATAGAAATATTCAAAGTTAACATGGCTATATATTCAACACCTACTTTAGCATCTTCTTCATCAAAGATTGAACACCAAGGAGAGGTCACATTCTTAAGAGCCAACTCAAACGAACAGGTGAAAAAAGCCACTTGAATCAGATCTGAAATAAATCCAGAAAAATAAGCGTCAGAAAAATGGTAACTAGTTATTACTTGCTCTCTACCACCCCCTCATCATCACTCCCTGCCACGAGAAGGAATTGTGACAGGAGCAGAAATGATACCCAACAGATAACAACCAGTCCAAATGCATACTAAGACACCGTCTTTGCACAATGGGACTATTCATGTTCCATTATGAAAATGATACTTATTTGCACATCTATAGAAACTGGGTCCTGGATTGCAAACATTTCACATGATAGAGCCATACGTGCCAAACAGTCATGAGTTCAACAGTTTGCAACTGCTGATGTAAGCATTATTCTTATTATGCAACAGACTAGATAACAAAATAGGCAGGTTCATATTGGCACAATGCTAGTCAAACCCCTCCCTCTGTTTACACTCATTTAAGAATCCAAATGGCAGCAGTGGTGTCACTCCCTAGCCTCTTTAAATCAGCTTCCTTCAGCGCAGAAACTGTAGGACCTGCTAAGGCTACTAAAGAACTCTGTTCCTATCTTGTTAAATAGCAGCACTAAGGACTTGTTCCACTGTTCCTTTCTGTTCAAATGTTCCCTCCCGATGCAGTGTACCTGGAATTATTATCCAATTACTGTATATTTCAGTTCAGGAAATCTTTACACAGTCATGCTCTTACTACACTATAGTAATTAAAATGTTGGGGGTTTTTGTTTGTTTTATAGCTTTTCCCCAGCTGGGTATGTAATACATAGCAGGATCCTTGAAAGTTTCAGGTAGAACAAAAAACTGCAATTTAACAAAATGTTGCTAATTTAGCTCATAAAATCATTAATATATATATGTGCTTAAATAAAATTTCCCAATTAAAAAAAGAGACTGCAAGGAGAAATACCCTAGTGGTCCTTAGCTTAACAATTCAGCTAAACTGAATATTCTTAGGATGAGCAATAGTAAGACATATCCAAGGCTTGTGATTTCTATGGCTTCAACAGTAACCCAAGTATTTTACTACGGCATACTGAAATACAAGATTTTATAAAAGTTTATGTAATGCAGAAGATGGTAAACAATACCTTATCACATTTCACCAATTATTTTAGACTGTGCGCTATGCCTTTTTTCCCCATAAAGAATAAATTTCTGTATTTTTCAAAATGATCTGTACCAAGTTCATGTAATCTAACTGGGAAAGATTTTTCTACAGATTTCTTATACATTAACTTTTCTTCTGAAAATTCACCACTTAATATTCATTTTTAAAACATGCATGTAATTTAACAGCTTACTTAGTATAAAGCTACACAATTTTATCATAACTGTTTCTGTAAATTAAGCTGCTAACCCACAGGTTTATTTATTACACTGAACATCTCTTAAAATCAACCCAGAATTCAGGGTTCCTTTGTATCTTTGTTCTTTCTTCCAGAACAACATTCTTGACTGAACTATTAAACCTGATATTCTATCATTTTTTAGAATATTTAAGTCAGTGTACACTGCCCAGTTTCAGAAAACAAACACATTTTAACAACTGTTTTTACTCAATTGGTGATGTCATGTACTCTCTTCATTAATCTTCCCGAAAACCTCAAAAGAGAATTAAACACATCTGCTCTTCCAAACTGATGTACCTAGAAAGAGGTTTATGTAAATAAAAAACAACAGCCACAGGACATGTACTCTACCTGCATTCAACTCATTCACTGGTAGACATAAGGTATTAGCAGTTTTTTCCAAAACGTTTTGCATCTTGGAACCATTTTTGAAGGCATCCACTTGATGCAAAGCTGTTCTGTTCTCTTCTATACAGGTTTTGAACTTCTCACAGTGATCAAAGAACCTCATTAATTTATCATTAATTTCAAGCACTTGGTTCTCCATATCTAAAGGGAAAAAGAAAATGAGCAACTATATAGTAGCTATTAAAAATGTAGCAATTTACGGAATTTAATTCCAAGCCTTAGCCAAGCAATTTCAGAAGGAAACAAACTGTTAAACCAGGGGTGGGCAAAATATGGCCTGCAAGTCGGATCTAGCCCACCAAGAGATTTTATCCAGCCTGCAGCAGGTCCCTCAGTCCCACCAGGCCCAGACACAGGTGACAGTCTGGGCTATGGCATGTACACCCACACCCACTGCCTGAGCCCCACTGTGGGGCTGAGGTGGCACAGCAACTGGACTTACTTCCTAGACACTGCAGCAGCTGCTCTACCGGACCCAGCTCCTGCTGCCTGAGCACCCAACCTGTCTGCCCCTTGCACCCACCACCAGGAGCGCGACCCACATAGGCAGGGCCTGTGGCTGGGCAGATGGGATGGGGCCTGGATCCCAAGGCAGGACCTCAGGGAGGTGGCGATAACGCGGGCTTGGGGCCTGGGGCAGAGCCACGGTCTGCTGCCTGCGCACCCCTGCAATAAGCACTGGTTCTGCTGGCAGAGGTGTGTGGGGAGCAGATGGTGGCTCTGCCCTAGGCCCCAGTCCCACTGTCATTACCCCAAAATCCCAGCCCCAACTCCATCTGCCAGTCCTGCTCCCCGCCTGCCCACGGCCCCATCCATCTGGCTGCACGCCCCAACTGTGTGGATACTAGCCAGTCTCCATGGAGACCCTGGGAATTGCTGGGTGATGACAGTACGGAACAGGGGCCCGGGGAGAGCTGAGATCCACTCCCTGCACGCCCCTGCCCAAGGAAACAGTGCCTGTGGCAGGGGAACGGAACAGATGGTGGCTCTGGCCTGTGCCCGAGCCCTGCACCATCACAGCCCCACCCACTGCCCACTCCCACATGCCGCTCCTCGTCCGCCCAGCCCAGCGCTGAGCAGAGCCACTTAGAGAGTTCTGGTGAGCTGGTGGGGAGAGCAGGTGCTGATCCCACACGCAACCATTCACCAAAACTCCCTAAATGGCCCTCCGGCCCAAATAACTGCCCCCCTCCCATAGCACAGCAACAAGGAGACAGGTGACCTATTTTAGTTTGCCTCCAGTTTCCTATGTGATTTTTTCATTTCAACCCTATTCCCAAAGAACGAAAAGAACCCATGCTCCACCTGCACCCCAGTGAGATGCAGTTGAACCAAACTCAGTTCTGGCTTGAGTTCGATTACTGAGACTCAAGGGTCTCTTGCATTGGATCAACTATCCCAATGATGCAGACGGTGGGATAAGACTTCCCTAGGAAATCCTTGCCCCTCGCATCATTTCTGGCCCCAGCCCAGCTACACTCTTAGGCTGAAAGACTGCAGCTGACGCACAAGGCCTTGCCTTGCCTCTGCTTGTACACTTTATTGCTCGCCTGCCCTAGGACCAAGTTCTGACCAATGCCCCAAGACCTGGGTCCAGCCAGCCAGACAAGGCCAGAAGGGGAGACATCACCTCCAGCACGGCCCTTATGTCCCAGCGCCACAGCAGGGTGAAGGGGCTGTGGGAAGGGTACAGCTGGGTGCCCCGGGGAAGGCGGGTGCGAGAAGGGGGCCCCACCTCGGCAGGGCGCCCTCACCTGGGGCAGGGGGCAGCCCCTGGCGGAAGGCGGCGCTGCTCTCCACGCAGCGGTGCTTGGAGCTGCTGAGGAAGGCGGCGCGGCGGCGCGGCGAGATGAGGGCGGGGAAGCGGGCGGCCAGGCGCCGGGCCAGGTACTCCATGTCGCGGCGGCCCTGCGCGGCCAAGCGCCCGTCCATGTCGGGCCGGTACCACAGGTCCCAGGAGGCGAGGCGCTGCGC